CAATTGGAGGAAGCAGTTGCGTCGTATACATCCTCTCTTAACAATTGAAACGTAAAAATTACCTAACATAGTTTGTCTATACATAGTGGCCATTTTTGTAGGTGCTTCAACAAGTCCTTGTTCAGTGCTGCGGTCTTGCATCAAATGCACCGCAGACCCTTAAATGCCGAGCCGAGCCTTCTTAAATTGTCCTCGTATGGATCTGGGAGCAAAAGTTTACGTTATGCTTTACGTTTATGCTGAGTAAATTTGACATTAAGAACTGAAATGCAGAATTCTTTCTAGCCATTCAGGACGACGCTGCCATGACGAACAATTTAAATTTTTCGAGATTTTAATAAGTTACTTTTAAATATTAATTATGACATGTTTCACAGTGTGAATGTGCACATGAGATAAAATGCATGCACAAGACAGACAGATCTGGATACCCAGACACTCTGTTACAACGTTCGAGGTCAGGTAAAGATTTTGCTTGCATTGGTTTCGTGCTAAACTTTTGAATCATCGGCTGACAAGATATATGTTTCTTATATGAGGGAACAGTCTATCACAGATGCCATCTGATAAATAATGCCCTCTACAGTACTATTTTCAACCGTAAGGATGTGCCCTCAACGATAATCGATTTGGCAATTCTATTGGATGAGAATCTGCAGAATCACCATCTGCCTGTTTCCCTTCACGGCTGGATGAAGACCTCTAATAGATTTTGGTATGCGTTTCTTCGTTCTGTGATTCTTATCCAACCATACTCATTGAACTTCTTCAGCTCACTCTGCCACTGGTTTGGAGGTTTCATTTCTACAGTCTGTCTACTCACTCATGGAAGCAGATCACATGTCTCTGGTCTAGCGATGGTCGGTTCCTTTTGAAACATATTCTGCCCGTTGTCATTTCAGTTTCTTCACTCGTTCAATGGCATCGAAGACTCCTGTTTCTGCTCTTATCGATCCGTTCGTCTTTCTGTTTCTTTTCGTTGTTTGTAACATACTTTTTTGATGGTGCTCTGAGCAGTCTCCAGTTTATGAATAGCCTTCAAGCTTATTGGTTGGCACTCGAGGCACACCTGCTCGAAAGCTTTCAGTCCCAAGCACCAGGCTATCAATAAGAGCGTTTTCAATCTTCAGCAAGAGCTTCATGCCATTTTTACTCTTGTGTTCATTTCGCTGATTCGGATGTATATTGAAGAGAAAAATTGTCCCCCTCCCCGTATAACCGGTTCAGTCCCAAGTCGGTGGACTTCAACAAGTCGAAAAATCGCGTATT